ACTATAAACCTTCTCAGTTCCCTGGAGGATCAGCTGACCATGCAAAGCCTCCTCTCTATGGAAATGATTTCTCTGCTCTCAGCGCACTGGAGACAAACAGAGACACAACATCTGAACAAAGAGTGGCTGGATTTAAACCGTAGAGGATTTTAACATAAATGGAAAATAAAGAACAGAAATATGGATTATATATAATTTAAATCTTGCCGGTAAATGTGGCCTATGGCTCTTGTTGATATTAGTTTTCCAATGAGATATTTTATGGTTTTCTATTTTTATGATCTGACTAAATTCCGAATTTGTGTGTTTTAGATCATTTAGCTGAGCTTTTGAGTAAATCAGATATAGAGAGGTAAACTTTTTTTCTTTAAAAGCTAGAAAGTAATAATAAAGTCGAATAAATGAATTTATAGAATAAAAAGTTGTGAAAAGTTGTTTGCTGTCAGAGCAGGAGGTTTTTGTACGGCCTCTTAATGAGTTTCTATCACTGTGGTGGACTTTTGGTGGAGGAACCAAACTCATCATTCATTGTGAGTATCACCATTTCATCTTATTAGAAACAAAACTATGTTTTAATTGCTTTTATCTTATTACAAGGTGATTAAACTATATCTGAAATATTGTTGGAGTCCTAGAGCTTTTTCTATTTTTCATGACTATAGCTTGTTGGCAGCAGCTTAACTTTTTTTACAAAGAGTACAGATGTATTTTTCATTTTTTTATTTTATATTATTTATTTGATGACATCTTAATATTTCTAAAGCTGCATTTAAATTGTATTTTTCTGTCTTTCAAAAAAATATATTATTATCATATTACTATCAAATAATGTGGAGGATCGTAGTTCAGAAGCACATCTATGTTTTTGGAATTTTTATTTTATTTTATTAAAACCTGTTGGCTCTAGGAAAACATAAACAAGGAAAATTTACTTTCAGCAGTTAAAGTTAAAAGTTTGTTATTTTGATGCAGTGAAGAGGAAGTGAAAAAGACAGATGGAAACGTCTTTAACTGTTTTCAGCCATTTGTTTCACAGTAAATTAATTAGCTTTATATTTAAGTTGAT